GGTGGGGGATGGCAGGGAAAATGGGAAGATGTTGGTTAAGGAGCACAAACTTCCGGTTAGAAAATGTTGATGTTCTAGGGATCTAATGCACAGCATTGTGATTATAGATAACAATCACTGTATTATACTTGAAATTTGCTAATAGAATAGATCTCAGAAGTTCTCACCGCAAAAAAAGAAATGCTGATAATGTGATGTGATAAAGATTTAGCTGCTACAGTAGTAATCATATTTTAATCTTTAAGTGTATCAAATCAACACGTTGTACACCTTAAATTTACATGTTATATGTGTATTATATCTCAATAAAACTTGGAGTGGTAGGAAGCACATAGGCTAGAGCCAGATTACCCAAACTAGCTGTGTGATTTTAAGCAAGTATTTTAAACTCTAAACACCTTGGATTCCTCATTTGTTAAAATGAAGTTAAATAATCATTTATTTTATATTGTTTTGAGGAATAAACAATATATGAAGAATGCTTCAAGTACCTAGCCAACAGCAACCTTGTTGTCTTCCTCATCACCATCCTCACGCCCTGAGCCAATATTGACATTTTGGTGAAAATTGGTTGTTTTTCCAGCTTTTGTAGCCATTTTTGGAACAGTGGTACAGTTGCAACAATCACAAGTCACAACTGGACACATTTTCCAACAATGGAACAATAAAGACCATGTTTAGGAGGCTAACTGCATTCACAACTTGCGCTAAAAGGTTGCTTTTCCCCCACGTGCCTCATAAGTGCTTCCTCGAATTTGCCTTTGCAATTTTTATTCTTTAAAAATAAAGAATTTAGAAGCCGACTCAGATGAACTCAAGAAGGGTCTGCATTTCTTTTTTTCCAAGGGTTTGAACCTGCGCTTACAATGGCTCTACATTTAATCCCTGAATTGTCTTGTGATTATTCACTGCCCATTTATCAGTTTGCCCCCTTAAACAGTGACAAATGGTGGTTCCTTTTAAGTTTCAAAGAAGCCAGTTTAATCTAGGCCCTCTGTTGCTTTGTTAGGGAAATCAAATGCCCAGAATTGTTCTTCAGCTTTCCCTTGTTGCTCAGAGGTCATGGGAAAGTAGATGTGGGAACTCCAGTGTGATTCATCATTGCCTGATGAAACTGTGTGACATCTGGGCACAGCATCCTGACTGATGGCACTCACATTCTCTGTCTCTCTATGAAATGATCTGCTTGCGAGTAAATGCAGCAGTGACTGAACAAGAAAGGTAATGCATGGTCACACCTGGGGTTATAGCAGTTTCCACCTGGTGTAATAGAAGTGACAAATTGATGGGGATTTTCAACCACACTTTGTGTCTGCCTCAGTGAAGCACCTTCCCAAGACATCCTTCCTTCCTTCCTAAGTCTTTACATGCATTAGCAGTAAAAGCTTAAATAACTGCATAAGTTAAACCTTGTAATGTGTGTCAAAGAACAGCCTACACTAAAATCAGGTATATAAAATGGCCTTGTGAGTATCTATGTCCTGTAGATTGTTATGCTCAGGGCAGGTTTTGCATAGTGAATTTCATTACACAGTAAATGTTCTTATTCTCTCAAAATTGGTGTCTGACTAAAGTAAGTATCTTTATTAGTGGTCACAGTGGTGACTTCTCTTCCATCTCTTTGGCTGGCTCAGAAGGGGGATCCTTCCTTGAGCCCCAGAGGAGAAGGGAACTTCTATCTTTGAGGCAAAAAGGTAGCTGGAAAATGTGTCCAGTTGTGACAAACAGAGCACCTTCATGCCCCCTGGGCGCCTTTATTACACATGCTACCACGTAGTGAAATTTTTTCCTAGGATGTGTTTCATTCATTCACTTGTAGGAGAGGAAAAGTAGTTTTCCCTTTTTCTCTTGGCTGAGAATCCCCTCCTCCAGTAATAGAAGACAGAGTAACAGGAGAAAAACAGAAGTTTAATAGCCTGTATATCAGCTATATACATGGGAGAGATCCAGGTAAACTGAGTAACTCCCAGAAATGGTCCATACCACCAGCTTCAATGCCATCTCCAGCTAAACACAAAAGAAAGATGTTGGTGGAGTGGGAAGCCAGTTATGAGAAATTGCAAAGCACAGTAAACAAGGTTACAGTTCTTAACTAGATTTAAGTCCGTTGCCTTCTGCATTGATAAGAGTTGCTAGAGATGTAGTCATCATCTTCCTGCTCCAGCATGGAAGACAGTCTTACAAATGGAGAGTTCCCTTATAAATGTAAAGGTCTCTTACAAAAAAAGGCAACTTTTGCTTGATTTTCAGAGCCTCTCCTGTGCCTGCTGTTCCTTATAATCAGCCTAAAATAATCCTTATGTCAAAAATACATATTTTGCAGTGACAAGTTCTCCTCCCCTCACAGTCATTCAACCATTCAATTCTCAAGCTTTCACTTTCAACTTCTATGTGTCCTGGCTATACCAAACTCCTGGGAAATTGAATCAAATAAGGTCCCTTATTCTGGGCCTTCCATGTGCCCAGAGACAGTGGATGAGACGGGCAAGTAAACTAATCATGACAACATGAAGAGGTTAGAGCCTCACTATTCCAAGTGTGGTCCCTGAGAACTTTTAGGAACACATAATCTCAGCCCTACCCCCGGGACCTACTAAGCGAGAGTCAACATTTTTACAGGACCCCCAGGTGATTCGAATGCACATAAAATGCTGTTCGAGGCATGTGCAATGTACTATGTAATGCTAGGGTACAAAAGGGCATGACATGAGGGCGCGGGGCAGCAGAGCATTTGGAGCTCCTTGAGCCCCTTGCCTTGCCTTTCATACTCCCACAGCAACCCTGCTAGACAATTAGCATTGTGTCCCCAAGACATTTAACTTACAGTGACAGGTGTGAAGAATGGGGGGGGGCGGGGTTCGAGTAGGTAGATTTAAGCAGACTGTTGGCCACAACTCCAGGGAGTATGACTCTTACCCCCATAGGTTCAGTACCATGGCCTTGAGAAAGAATAAGCATTTTGCTCACCTATTCACCTGTAATCTCTAGAGAGGAAAGGGGAAAACTTAGGTCAATGATCAAAGGCCTCTGAGTAGCAGGTGAAGCAAGGCTGATCCGATTATAGATATTTCTCTGATGAGTTTTCTGTTTTTCCCTTGTACTCTTAATACTTTGAGAACCTGATGAATACTATGTTTCCCAAATACGCACATAGGGAAGACTCATGAATTTGCACATGATTTAGAATACTCACAGGTCCCTTTGAGCCCAGTCCACAACCCCTTAAGGTTCACATTCTCTCACTCAGCAGCAATGCTAGATAAAATTTTAACCACATTTCCCATAACATATTGAAAGATTTTACTCCATGCCGGGAATTATATTGAGTAATTTACATACATTATATTCCTTAATCTTTGCAACAGTACTATCTAGTAGGTTTTTATCACCATTTTACAGATGAGGAAACTAGAAGATTGGAGAGGTTATTAAATTGTCCAAGGTCATAATCTAGTAAGAGGCTAAAATGGAAACCAAATGCCGATCTGATTCCAGCACCCAGGGCTTTCACCACCGTGCATGCTGTCTCCTCAGAATGAAATACTACCTTTAAAAATAAGGCAACACATGTATTTAATGCCACTAAATTGTACACTTAAAAATAGTTAAACTGGGCGCCTGGGTGGCTCAGTTGGTTAAGCGACTGCCTCCGGCTCAGGTCATGATCCTGGAGTCCCGGGATCGAGTCCCGCATCGGGCTCCCTGCTTGGCAGGGAGTTGGCTTCTCCCTCTGACCCTCTTCCCTCCCGTGCTCTCTATCTCTCATTCTCTCTCTCTCAAATAAATAAATAAAATCTTTTAAAAAAATAGTTAAACTGGTAAATTTTATGTTATGGATATTTTACCACAGTAAAAATAAAACAGGGCAACCATCAAGAATATACACCTCGCCCAGAGTATGAGGTTTGGAAATGTTCAGTGTTTCCAAGTCCCTATAAACTCTTTGATTCACCACCCCCTTTTTAAAAAAGTAATGAAATAACCAAATCAAAACTTAGGCGGCTCTGGCCCTGTTCACCACAGCTGGAAACCCTAACTGCATACCACTCACACCACAGACCTGTCACAAGTCACCAAGTACTGTTTTCAAGATGGACTTTCAATCTGTGGTTACCCTACAATATCCCACAGACTTGATATATAGATGTAGATATAGATGTTTATAATTTCAATCTGTGTGTCTTTTTTATTGAAGGATAGTTGGCACACAATGATTCAAGAAGTCTACGCCTTACGCTATGCTCACCGCAAGCATAGCTGCCCTCTGTCCCCATACATTGTATTCCAGTGTCATTGACTCTATTCTCTATCCTGAGCCTTTTGTTCCCATACTTACTCATTCCATCACTTGGAAGACTGTATCTCCCATTCCCCTTCATCCATTTTGCCCATCTCCCACCTCCCTCCCCTCTGGCAACCACCAGTTTGTTCTCTGTATTTATGGGTCTGCTTCTGCTTTTTGTTTGTTTATCCATTTGTCCTGTTTTTCAGATTCCACATATAAGTGAAATCATATGGTATTTGTCTTTCTCTGCCTGACTTATTTCACTTAGCATGATACTCTCTAGGTCCATTCATGTTATCGTAAATGTCAAGCTCTCATCCTTTTGATTACTGAGTAATATTCCATCACACACACACACACACACACACACACACACACACACACCTACACCACATCTTTTTTATCTATTCATTTGTTGATGGAGACTTGGGTCGCTTCTATATTTTGGCTTTTTTTTTTTTTTGGAACTATGGCTCTTTATTTTCAAGTGGACAATTCAAAGTCATCAGTCGCTTTTGTTTAGTGAAAAAAAAAAAAAATTTGGGTTTAAAGAAAAGCATCAGTAGGAGCCTGGTTGAAGGATTCGTATTTTTAGAAGGGAAATACAGTGCAGATATCTCTAGAGAACATTTTTAAAGAAGTTTAGGGAGATTAAGTTTTAAAGCTATCTTGGGGCCAAGGCTTATTTCCCAGGTTTAAAGTAATTTGGGTGGTGTCACGGTGCTAAGTATAGGGTGATAGGACAGTGGTCACTGCCCAGGGCCTTGGGACTGATCTTGCTCTCACACAATGCAGGTAACAGAGAGTGAGACAACAAAAAGTAATCAAGGCACCAATCGACATTTTTGGATTGAGCATTCATCATGTAGGTCCAAAAGGTATAGGCATAAGCTGTGTTGGGGTAGAGGTGCCGGAAACTGTCAGCCAGTGGCACGGCCTATAGTAATTCCCCAAAGCCTTGACGCTCTTGTGGAGTGAAGCCAGCATTCTTTTTGTTTCCCATGGGGTTGCGAAGGTCGATTTCTTCATGAGCCACATTAAGGTCCCCACATAGCACAAGGGGCTTGTGGGAAGCCAAACCCTTCAGGAACTTGCGAAAGGCTTCATCCCAGCGCTGCCGGTACTCCAAGCGTACCAGACCTCGGCCTGCATTAGGTACATAGGCTGTTCCTAGCACAAACGTGTCAAATTCAGCCACGATCACTCGGCCTTCCTGATCATGTTCCTCCTCACCAGTGCCATAGGAGACTTTGAGGGGGCACTGGTGGGAGAGCAGGCCCACACCACAGTACCCTTCCTTGTCTGAAGGGGCTGACCAGTACTGATGGGATAGTCCAGGTAACTCTTGAAGTTCAGCTGGTAGTTTGTTCTCCGAACATTTGGTCTGTTGGAGGCAGAGGATATCTGGGGCTTCTTCCTTTACCCAATCTAAACCTTTCTTCTTAATCCAGGCCCGAAGCCCATCCACATTCCAGGAGCAGATCCTGAGGGTGGCCGATTTACCGTTGGGCGAGGTTTTCTGATCTGGGGGGTCCTCATACAGGACTGGCCCCTCTCCTGCCACTTTTTCGTTTTTCTTTGTTCCCACCTTACTCTTCTTGGCTTCTGGTTCAATCTTGGGTTCTTCCCTGTCTTCTGCCACAGCTCCCTTTCTCCCACGCTTCGGCATCACTGTAACGAACGCCCTCCTGAACCTGTACCAGGTCGCCCACCGAAGCAGTATTTTTATCTTGTTACCCGAGCACAAAGAGTATATTTTGGCTTTTTTAAGTATTGTTGCAATAATCATAGTGGTGCATGTGTATTTTCTGATTTAGTAGTTTCCCCCCCCCCCGCCCCTTTGGGGAAATCCCTAATAGGGGAATTACCAGAGTATATGGTAGTTCTATTTTTAATTTTTGGAAGAATCTCCATACTGTTTTCCACAATGGCTGTACCAATTCACATTCTCACCAGCAGTGCATGGATGTTCTTTTTTCTCTACATCCTGGCCAATTGTTGTTATTTCCTCAGATTTGATATATTTATGCAGGCCCTGCAAGGTACAGAACTTCTTAAGAAATATCATTGTTACCTATTCTCTCCTTCAGTACCAATATGAAAAATCTTATCAAGTTCAACCACAATCAAGATCAGTCCTATCAAGTTCAACCACAGTCAAGGTAATGAACATATTCATTACCCCTAAAGTTTCCTGTACCTCTTGACTTTTAAGTATCTTATTCCCAGTCCTGAAGGTACCTATAGTAATGGTTTTAGAACACAGATTCTGACTAGTTCAAATCTTATATATACTTCTCACTAGTTCTTTGAGCCAGATCAAGTTTTAGCCTTTATATAAATGAGATAATATAAGTAAACTTCTTTACAGAGTGTTCTATGCAGAGTAAGCACTTACTAAGTGTTGATGATTAAGGTAGTGATGATATTTATTATTTTTTTAAAAGATTTTATTTATTTGACAGAGACACAGCAAGAGAGGGAACACAAGCAGGGGGCAGTGGGAGAGGGAGAAGCAGGCTTCCCACCGAGCAGGGAGCCCGACGCTAGACTCGATCCCAGGACCCTGGGATCATGACCTGAGTCGAAGGCAGACGCTTAATGACTGAGCCACCCAGGCGCCCCAGGTAGTGATGATATTTAGATGTTACTCAGTCTGACGATTATCCTGAATCACTTTGGCATGGCATTTCATGCCATGCTGCCTTTGATAATCTATCCCCAATACCATGATTTCTGTATATAGTATAGTATATATGTAGTGTATTATTGACAGTCTAAGTACCTTTTCAGTGTTTGGAGGTATAATTGCAATACACCAAAATGCTCATATTTAAGGTGAATAACTTGATGAGTTTTGATATATGTATATACCCATGAAACTATCACCATAATCAAGATAACAAGCCTATTCATTACCCCTAAAGTTTCCTTGTATCTCTTTGTCCTCCTTTCCTCCCTTCCCCTACCAGTAGTTCTGCCCAGACAACCATTGGCCTGCTTTCCAACAGAATAATCTTTTTTTTAAAGATTTATTTATTTATTTATTTCAGAGAGAGAGCAAGAGAGAACGTGAGCGCGGGGTGGGGGGGGGAGGGAGAGAGAGAGGGAGAATCCTCAAGCAGTCTCCCCACTGAGTATGGAGTCCCATGCAGGGCTTGATCCCAGGACCCTGAGATCATGACCTGAGGTGAAACCAAGAGTCTGCTGCTTAACTGACTGAGCCATCCAGGTGCCCCCCAACAAAATAATCTTGAGTCATATTGAAAAATACTGGGGTTTCTTCTGCATTTTTTTCAAGTTTTTGTTTGAATTCCAGTTAATTAACTTCCATTGTAATATTAGTTTCCAGCATAGAATTTAGTGATTCATCACTTAGATATACCACCCAGTGCTCATCACAACTAAGTGCCCTCCTTAATACCCATCACCCATTTACCCATCCCCCACCCACCTCTCCTCCAGCAACCCTCCGTCTGTTCTCTATAGTTAGAAGTCTGTTTTCTGGTTTGCCTCTCTTTTTCCCCCTTCGTTCATCTGTTTTGTTTCTTAAATTCCACATCTGAGTGAAATCATATGGTATTTGTCTTTCTCTAGCTGACTTAATAATAGTCTCCAGCTCCATCCACGTCATTCTCTTTGGGCATATCACTTTGCTTTCCCCTTGTGTTTAATTATATATTTAGCTTCCCTTAAACATGGGAGGGGTTTTTGTTGGATAGGTGTTCAGCAACTGCATAATAACCTTTCAAGATAAATAAATCAAACATGCCAACCTCTCCTCACTTCGAACTCCTATGAGTTCTCCTGTCAAATTCAGTAGATTGTCCTGCCATTGTCTTGCTTGCTATGTTGATAATAGTTCTCGGTTTATTCAATAGATTTCTGTTGCAGTATTACATCCCAGTATTATCATTTTAGAAGACATTTAGACAACTGTCTGGTGTCCCAGTTTCAGGTAAAACTCAAATGATCATCCTACCTGAGGTATACCTTCTAGAAATGGATCTTTTAAATTAATATGCAAAGGAACATAACTATGCCATAATTTATTCCTCTTCCTTGAGGTTTTCTTTTTTTTAACATGGATTGTAAGATCCGTCTCAATTTCTAAAACATTCAGTGTGGAAGGAAAGATTTGCATCTTAGAACCCCAAAAATGCGGTAACCATAAGCTGTCATTTGGTATTGTCATTTATTGCATTGTTTGATTATTTTCCTATTTAAGAAGAAGCTCTATAAATTATATATCTTTGGACCCCATGCAAGGCCTCACCTAGTGCTCCAATACGTATGGACCCACAGAATTGCATAATGCCATAGCAAGAAAGGAAGTCAAACCTAATTTAGACTATTCTTCTCATATGGCTCGTGTAGAGAGGCACACAAAAGAGAAATATCTTTCCCAGATTCATGTAGTCTTTCCAGAATCAAGATTGATTCCAGGTCCCCTGACTCTCCGCCTGGTGTTCATTTCACTTGAATGTATCATTGACAGAGTGGAGTCTGGGAATGGACATTTTCAGATCTCTCCAGGTAATTCTTATGTGCACTAGAGTTGACTTGTGCACACAGTTCTCAGAATTTACACTCTTGATCTTTCCAGTTTCAAAAATTCAAGATATGGAGGCAGGCATATAAATATAATTGTTTATAATTTTGCTGAGCTGCTCAGTAGAATTATATTGTAGGCCACAAAAGTAGTATTTGTGCATGAGTCAATTACTTAGTGACTGAGGCTTATTGATCACCCTACATCCACACTGAAACTTCACTTCCTTCCTTCACTTGTTTGTTCCTTGCTTTAGTCATTGTTAAACTCCTCCTGGTAAAAACCAGGCACTGTTCTAGGATTTAGACACTGTTAGGGGGATTCAGTGCTGAATATGACTGGTGCGTTTTCTGATTTCTGGTGCAAAGGTGACAATAAAGTAAACAATAATGAATAAGACAGTGCTATAATTACAAACTTTAATAAAGACTGTGAAGAAAATAACAAGAGGTTGCATTTAAGCTGAAACCTGAAGGTTGACCAGAAATCTTAGGGAAAGAATAATCCCTATTTCGTGATGTAATCTTAATATTTAATTTGGACACAAACCCAAGGTAATACCAATATTCAATCTTGACTTGTATCCCATGTTCTGAAAACTGAAATTCACCTAGTGATTTTAGTGCAGATAATACAATCCTGATGCCTAAAAGACTCTGAATAAACATTTCACAGATGCCTTGGGGAGCAGCAAGTTATCTTTGACAGGGAATTGCTCTTGAGCTGAAACCCTGATTGTTTTTCTCTGCATCCCCATCTCTCCCTCAGTGCTGGCCCGGTCACTATGACTTCATCAACTCCCCTTCAGTGTCTGAAAGAGCTTCTAAGTGTTGGTCACCTCGACTGCAGGAAAGGCCACGGTGGCATTCCAGAATGGAAGTGTTTGAAAGATTTCAGTCCTTGTCCCTTGGGAAAGTTGAGAGGCTGCTCTAATATGCCCATGCCTTCCGCAGAGTTTGAGTTTCTTCCCAAGGAAGCTGTTTTCGTTCATTTCTGCCTCCTTCAAACAGTTCACCTCCCATTTGTCATTCTTTTAACCCCTCCCTTTGCAGATTGTGTTAATCTCGTTCTCAAGTAAATATTTGGATAGATGTATTTAAATTACTTGTTTGATAGGGTATTGTAGTTCAAAATAATGCACTTTAGTCTTTACAGTTTGAGGGAACACATATTCTTAAATTCCCAAGACATAGGAATATCACAAATAAAATGTTTTTCAGCGTCCCATCTAACCATTAGTTTTGCTTTCACCCTACGGCCTGGATCCAGCAGGCTGGATTCAACCCGTGGCTCTGCCATTTTACTTGCTGTGGGAACTTGAGCAAGTTACCAAACTTCTTTGTGCCTCACTTTCTACATCTGTACTTTCTACATCTGTAAAATGGGTATAATAGCATTAGGGTTGTTGTGAGAACACAGAAAAATGAAATGAGGTAGTGCATATAAAATGCTCAGATTAGTACATACATCAGTCGCTGTTATTTTTTCCTGGCCTTTTTACTAGCAGCGGGTACCTGATAAGACAGAATAAATTCTTCTGAGAAGTGAATCCCATTTGTTCATATGCACTATGGAAATTTTGCTTTCTTTCTATCAGTAACAGCCCTTAAGTTTTAGAATCTTGAATTCTTTCTTTGTGAACTCCAATGAAAATAAATATTTATTTAAAAGATTAGATTTTAGTTGAGCCATATAAGTAGTAACTCATGTGGAAATCATTTCAGATCCTTTAGAAATGATTGTTCTTAGAATTGCTAAAAATACTCCTGGATTATGAAGGAGAGGCAGCTCCTCTATGTGCATGTCATTGGTAAATTAGCAACAGCAGTGATAATAAATACTAACTCATAAGAATTTACTTTGTATACATTTTATTTTATTGTTTTTCCCCTTTATCATCTGACAATATATGAAAATTGTCTCTTAAGGATAATACTTAGAAATCACATGCAGTCTTTTCAATGATTATGTAATGTTCTGTCATCTAGAAAAACCAGCTCACCTAACCTATATACAGTGCATTACAGTAATTGATTTTCTTTTGAGGTTAAACCAGCCTTGCCTACCTGGGATAAACCCCAGTAGGTCATAATGTAGTATTCTTTTTGTGTGCTGCT